TGCGCACGCACACGGGCACACAAGTGGGGGAGGGACAGAGAGGGAGGCGGAGGAGCCCCGTGCCAGACTGGAGACCCAGCCCCTCTCCTGCTCCAGAAGGTTCAATGTGCTATAGAAGACTGACTAGAGTTTTCAGTACTTACACACTTTATTGCCAGAATTTCGCTTAATGTACCCGTTTTTTCTTCACAATGCCCTGTTATTTCGAGACCGTCTTCCTTCTTTATCTCTCAACCTTTACAACTTACTTTCTGTGTGTTAACACTATTATTCTGTGCCATGCATTGTGCTAATAAGTGCTTTACAGGTAGCATCTCATTTTATCCTTACAACAATCCTTTGAGGGAGGGACGCTAAAATTATTCTGTTTACACCTGGGAAGCCTGAGTCATGGAGAAATTAAGTACTTCCTGCTAACTGACCTTAGGTGACTTACTTAAGTTCAGGGACCCTCAGTTTCCCCGACTGTCTAATAGCATTAGGGAGGGGGCATGGTATGGTTACCATTATCTGTATAATGGGTTGAATTTCCCCATGGTGATGTCAAGGTCTCTTTGACTTCTTCATGTTTCTCCTGAGCTTCCTGGGCCCCACTGCCTGGGGGCCAGCAGTGACTTTTTCCCTCCACTGTCTGTTGGGTGACTTGCTTCCATTCTGCATCCCAGGGCCCGTGGGTGGATTTTTTTCTGTCTTCTGTGCCCAGCCCTTTCTCAGCTCCTGGTTTTGGGCAAGACACTCAGTTTCCTTTCTCTGCTGTCCCTGGGGCCTCAGCTTGACCTCTGTCCCCTTGTGGGTATGAAAACCCCAATCCTAGGGATCTCGGTGTCCCTGTGGAGTGCTAGACTTCAGCCACCTCTCAGCATTGTGGCTTTGATTTCCTTCTTTATTTCTAGCACCTGGAAGATTGTGTTGCTGTTGAGCTCAGATATCTATTTTAAAAAGAAGAAGAAGGCGTGCCTTGGTGGTTCAGTCACTTGAGCATCTGACTTTGGCTCAGGTCATGATCTCATGGTTCATTAGTTCGAGCCCCAAGTCAGGCTCTGTGCTGACAGCTCAGAGCCTGGAGCCTCCTTCAGATTCCGTGTCTCACCCTCTCTCTCTGACCCACCCAGCTCACACTCTGTCTTTCTCAAAAATAAACATCTAAAACAATTTTTTTAGGGGCGCCTGGGTGGTTCAGTTGGTTAAGTGGCCAACTTCAGCTCAGGTCATGATTTCGCAGTTCATGAGTTTGAGCCCCACGTTAGGCTCTGTGCTGATAGCTCAGAACGTGGAGCCAGCTTCAGATTCTGTGTCTCCCTCTCTCTGCCCCTCC